ACTCAAGCATGGATCACATCATGTTAGTATTGATACAGTGCAACACTAATGATAGGATGATCTGCTGCTGTGGATTCTCACTCATCCAGGATACGATATATAAAAGAAAAAAGACCAAGCAACTTGACTTCTGTTCTACAGCTGAAGACGTGGAGTTATAAGATTTAAACTGCACAAAGTTAGTATAAATATTAATACTTGGGTTGATCTGTTTACCCCGACCTCACTGAAGTAAAAGTCAGATGAAATAAGACATGAGTGTTCAAACTGAGGTCACTTTGAAAAACATCACATATGGATCTGATTTAGAACCACATTTAAAAAAGTACGTGNAAAGCTTGCACACCACTGGTCTGAGGAGAACAGGAGCTTGCTTCACAGAAGTCAGATTTATAAGTCCAGGATATCAGCTGTAAGCAGAGCTTGAACAAGCCTTAATCTGAGCGGCTCATTGAAACCAGGTGCTGATCATTTAGGACTAATGCACGTTCAAAGTTTGTTTACTAGACCTATCAAATGGATCACAGATTTCCTGATTCATGCGCAGTAAGACATGTGAGTCTTCCCAGCAGTGTGAGGGTTAATCATGAATCATATGAAGACATGAATCAAACCACGGCTGCTGCTGTCATAAAGCGCATGTGGGGGAGGGTGGTGTTATAGCGGACAATTGAATGTTTAATAATTAGATGTCAGCAGCTGATGGGGAAATGGTCAGGGTTAGGCTGTAAAATTACAAATGAAATGAATAGAAGTCATTTCACGGTCCCCACGTGGTTATAAAAACCAACCTGAATGTGTGTGTGTGTCCGGGGGGTGCATAATAACAACAGACAGTGTGAACTTTTTACAGTTCTGCACTGATCTGAATGTGCAGCAAAAAACATGACATCACATATGGAGAAAACATGGATGCTACATTGTTTGCGTGTGAATCTATTCTGAAGTTGTTCTGCAATCAGAACTCAAATTATCTGACATGCTTGTTTGGTTCAGTGTTTATGTTTAATCTTGCCTCTTGATGCAGCATTGTACTTCTGAAACAGAAAATATTGAAGGTAGAAACAAACTCAAGCATGGATCACATCATGTTAGTATTGATACAGTGCAACGATAGGATGATCTGCTGCTGTGGATTCTCACTCATCCAGGATACGATATATAAAAG